AGGTCCTCGCTAAAAAAAAAAAAAAAAAATCATTCGCACGAAATATCAATTGTCAGCCGAAATAAAAAAAGCTGAAGCGCCGGTGTGTCCGCAAGACTCTGCGGAATTATGCAAGGGGGATTCCTCCTTTTCCACTTAGCATGTACGTGTAGTACGTAAGAAAAATGAATTAAAAATTGAATGAAAAAAAGGCGTGCGTGCTTGGCTCGCACTCTCGAACCGCTGAAACGCAAGTTTTTCCTGCCCACCTCTGAAAAATGTTATTGCGAAAATCGTTTTGCTTTTCTGACACCGAAGCATTTTATTGACCTCAACGCCAACACCGAAGTTTTGCCAGAAAATACGCAGCAACGCAATCAAAGGTGATGCTCCGATATGAAATTGTCCGTCTGAAAAAAGAGCGCGAGCTTGTAAAAATTTAAGTTCAACGGCACTAAAACGAACGTAAGCTTGTCGTGTCAAATAAATTTAATGAAAAAACAAAAACTATTTTTTCACGGTGCGTGCAGTTCGATGTCAAGGGTGGGATAAAACATATTAAAAAAAAAAAAAAAAAAAGAAAGAGCCAAAGCGCACACAATTTCACATTTCACGCGTTGCGCTTGTGAGTGTGCACAAGGAAAAAAGTGGCGAGGAAACGCGAGTGTACAAGGTGGATTTTACAAGCGAGTTTTACGGCTCTTTCAATGAAAAATACACGCCATCGGAGACAAGGAAAAAGAAAAGTTTATTATAACCCGACACAGCCGCGAAGCACAAACACCAGAGCCGTAAAAATAGACTATGACTAAAAATAACATATACCTACACTCTTTACCCGAAAAGAACGACGCGGGGTCGGAAAAAATCGAGTACCATCAGCTACCGTATTCATTGATTGCAAATGAGGAGGCACTCGTATATATACACCTATTGCGCTCTATTGTACCGCAGTGACCGCTCTATCTCTTGAGTATATACGTCACTTGTGCGTATATACGAGCGGTTTCCCGACGCTATATAACGTTATACCTGTATAGACGGCGGAGGGCAGGGTTCAACGACCGAACAATCGCGCGACTATACAATACAGACACGAGCCAAACTACGGATATCTTATGAGAGCAACGAAAATGAAAATCTCTTTTCGTACGATCGATAATTATGTACATACGTATACGCGCGAGTTGGATTTACATACTTTGCACACGCGCGTGACTCATACAAGTACCTCGATCTGCATGAAATTGCATTTCGTTTTATACGTGACTATGGACTCGCGATTGATTTTGCTTCGATTGCTCGTGCACATATTTATATTGTTGTCGTCCCATTGCGGGGGGGGGGGGGGGGGCACCTTTTTTATTTGCCGTACTCATTAATAAGCACTCGTAGGTATAATTGTACAAGTATCGAAAGATTATCGGTATTTGGGCGGGGTATCGCGGGGATTCCCCAATACGCGCGGTGTATCGATGATATTAAAAGGTACGGCGTAATAATATTGCGGCAGTTTGGTTTGTTAATCGACACGTGGGTACAGCAGCGTCTCTGGGTGGCCTTTGATATACTGCGACGTACAGTTGTCGTCTTTGTCAATTAATTAAACCTTGATAAAATGCCTTGGGACGTGCATGATGGCACATAGCCCCGTACACTGTCGAGCATAATGTTCTTTTGACATACCTCGTACTCTCGAAATTTTCCGATTCTCATTTAGTCGTTGAATTAGCGATTAACATCGCTATTGATATAAATAAGCTTGTGTATAGTACAACATAGACGAGCTATAGATTGCACGCATCGGTTACGTAAAAAGAGCTGCAGATGAGACTCAAGACTATAACTCTAACGGAGTAAAATTACATAAATAGTACTATTTCGCGACGCGTGATATACTCGTATGTAATAGGTATATATGTAATGCGGGTGAAATATTTTTATCGGCTTTACTGCTTGTACGTGTGTATAAGTACATATAACTTATACCGATCGCGCCCAGGAGAGATCGAGCGAGTTCTTTGGCCCCGATTCTAGCTCCGATAAAATTGAACGCGCCACCCTCGACGCTATAATAATATAAGAGCACGGATGTTGGGCCATGCATGCGTATACACACAAGCAAACCTTTTACGTCACATCAAAAGCAACCTCGTTATTACCCACCGTGTACTTGTATACATTACACTCTTTTAGACGTATAGGCACACCTACTTTGCGGTTGTGCGTGAACAACACGGATTGTTCAAGTTCATTTTCCACTCTCGTAAACATATCTTTGTGGGTGTGTTATTGGCAGCTCCGACTAGCTGATGTTGCAGGTACCGCAATGCAACCGAGTGACTTTACATATATGTGACAGATTGTACGTCGCGCTCAGTTGAAAAATTGATTGCCCAATATTGTTTATTCCTTTTATTTTCAAATTACTTCAGTTTTGAACAATTTGATACGATATACATACATTGTATACGTGACTGCACGTGAGCATCATAGTATACCAGCCACTCGAGTATTTAGTTTTTGTTGTCACATAAAAATACACACCTACATAGGATTGAGGACAAGACGTGTTGGGATCGAAATAAAAGCTCGTGTATCGCCATTTTATTGGCTGCAACTGCAGCTTTTTTCTTTTTTTTTCTTTCTTTTTTTTTTTTTTTAATTAAATTCACGGTCGAGCTTGTAATGGTCTTAACGCAATTGAACAACCCTCGATTTGAAAAATGTCCACCTATTACTCCACTTACATAAAAAATCAAACATTGTTATTTTTTTTAAATCATTCTTTCTGACGCTTTTTTCCACGTAGAAGGGCGGGTACATACATACATATAGTAACGAAATTCGGGTCGATTAATTACTGATCCTCTGCGTTACGCGCCCACAGATCAATTGGCGTGTAAAAGAGTGCTCGTCTATAGTATCCGTAAAGAGGTCAACTGTACATAAATATAGACTTTGTTTGAGTTGAAAGCATGTCCCCCTATACTTATATGAGAAAGGAGGAGCGATGTGTGTATAACACTGTGTTGGGTCCCGTAACATTGCCACCCGAAACAATCAACTCAATTGAAATCAATTAAAGAGCCTCGGCCCAACGAGGTACTCGGAAATAGAACGCTTCAGCCGAGGAAAATGAAAGAGACACGAAAAAAAAAAAAAAAAAATCGGACGGGCTGGTTCGTTAATCACCGCAAAATCCTCTCTGCTGCGTAAAAGAAAAAGAAAAAAGAGATATCTTACCTATACATAGGTACCACGAGTCTCTCACGCCCAAACATCGTCTGGCGCTGCCTCTTTTTTCTCTCTCTACGGCTACTTTTATATATAATATATGTACACACGGGGCGTTCGCGCGTTTATTACAACTTTCTCGAGTCTCGTCTTTCTGCCATACACCTATACCTATATAGTATATACGGGGGAAGTCAAACGAGTGTATAAGTATACGCGCGTATACATGAGTGCGAGCTGTGACGCACGAAGGAGAGACCCGCGGCAGCGAGCGTCAGGCTCGTTATTCAAAAAGGGGCCCGATCAGCCCGATTAATGTAATACACGTATGTGCGTATACATATATGTATGCAATACGCCCCGGCCGTGATGTGTGTTTAACTCTCCGAGCACATGCACCCAAACGTACATATACTTACTCGTCTGTTATTAAAAAACGATATTGGGCTCTCTGTGCATTTTACACGTAAAGTTGGGGCACAGGTGTCGAGATGATACGATAACAATACGCGTAAGAGGTATAATTTCAATGACGGGAGTTTACGGAGCTTCAAAACCTATACCATTGGAGCTTGCAAGTCGGAGCGCGTGTATAGACTCTCGTTTCAAATGCCCTCAACCCACACCCTCTATATACCATCTAAAGTAAACACAAAGCTTCTTTCCTCGTTTCGCGGATAAACACATCACCGAACACCCTCCCGCAATCACGCAACACATGCATTACATACACACGTCTCAACTCATTGTACATGCTCATTATCTTGTATACGTACATGTATATTATATATATATTTATATGTATGTTACACGTTACAACTTACGTCCCAACATGACCACCGCGACCGTCCAACGTCCTTCGCATAAATTCTTCACAGTTTTTTTTTCCATCACGCGTATTTTCAACTCGAAAGCTCTCCCTATTTTTTACTTTCAATAACGACAATCACGATTCGACGAGCATCCCAACAGTCGTACATTTTTCTTTAATACTCGGCGCAGAGGTAGTACTATACAACAACGTGCGCTCACGCGGTCTCGGCGACTGGTATTAGGGGGTGGTTCGTTGTCTGATTCATCGTATAGGTATACGATCTGTAGTTACTGGCAGGGGTGCAAAAATCGATGCGAGTGAGAGCTTCGGACGTTGAGCCATTGGCGGCGACGGCGTCGCTATTCCATCAGTGTAGGGGATGTTTTTTTTTTTTTTTTTTACCTTTTGCTCCAAAGAGCTTGCGAGCTTTTCTTCGAATTTTTGTTTCTCGTGGACACGTGATCGTTAAAAAAGCACTGAAATAATCGGGTGGGCAAAAGTGTAGCAAAAATATGCGCGCCGTGACAGTATATGCAGCGAGGAAAACAATGACGATGACGGCGACGATGATGATAAAAATCGGTTCGGGTGTCGTTAGCGCGGCATTAACATACAATGCGTACTTATACCCTATGAAGAGAAAAAAAAAAAAAAAACATTTTTCGTTTCCTCGATTGCTCATTGGCTGGATGGGTCGCGTACGAGCCCGCGAATCGAAAAACAAACACACCCACTGGGATTCGAATTTGGTGGTGGCAACGTATTTCCATACTTACGAGGGGGATCTGCCGATCGATACCGATACATAACTTTGATTCATTGTGAAAAGAGTTGAAAACAAAACAATAGCCACACTTGTATGGGTATACCCGTACTCGATCAAACGAGGGATGAAAAAAAGCTCAATTTCCCGAGCTTTTAAAAATGTTTATATCATTTTTCTCGCACTCGAGATAGTAAGTCTACTGACCTTATTGAAGTGCGACTGTAGTATCTTCTCGTATTGATCGACGGCGCGCAAGCAGATCCTCGTGGTGAAGGCTTCCATCCTGGCCGGGAGTGGAGCGTGGCACACGCTGCTGGACATTATCCTTTACTACAACTCCAAACCAACGTCCTTCCGTTGCTACTCCTATTTTTTTTTTTTTTTTTTTTTCAAATCACCACAGGTTCGTCCGAGCTCTCTCGCCGTCTATGTCCTGGAAATTTCGACACACGGTTCGCAGTCACTGTTACTACCGATGTTGCACATATTATGATATCAGTGCCCTTATCGTGTCCTCCTTCTGTTTCTTTTTCTTTTTTTGTTTTTTTAAATCACGTGATCGGCAACAACGATAACAATAAATAGCACTTGATTAATCGGGCCTGCCTACCCGTGCACGGGGACAAAAGCATCGGTGCTATAACAAACGAGCGGACCTTTGCAAATTACAAAAGCTCCAATCGCAATAATTATCGTGTATGTATATATGAGGGCGTGTAGACGAGTGAGCCAACACACAACTCCCCGAGAGCTCCGAACGGTACACTGAGCCGCTCTCCCAGCCACTAGCTTCTTTTATTGCCTCGACGTCGACGGCCCAGTCTCCTCTCTCCCTCGCGCGCTCTTTCCCCTCCCCCTTTCGCGTGTGTGCATACATGAGGAAATCCACTAAAATCATCCCTTGTCTGTCCCCTATTTTCATACGAAATTTCTTTTTTTTTTTTTTTTGAGGCGCACCCCTTGATATGGGGCTCATTTTACTCGTAGTTTCATGTGCCACGAGTAAAATATTTTCCACGACGTACGTGTTAAAATTATTATCTGTACAAATATAATTTTGACATGTAAATCGCGGAAAAGGGGTGTCACCCTCACTGGGACTCTTGTTCAAAATTTTTTTCCCCATAGTACATGACATTAAAACTAATACAAGTGCGGTTTCAAGGGTATGCATCATAAAAAACTTTGTTTTTTTTTTTTTAATAATATGGGGGACAAAAACGGGATATTTTTTGTGGATTTCCTCATGCACATGTGTATCTACTTCGCTACTTCGCTCTCTGCAGTTTCGAACGGGTTTGACGCTCTTTCCTCGCTGTTGGTTGTTGCTGCACTTGCGAAAGAGGAGAAAGAGCTAAACGAGCGCTCCCCCTGCTCGCATCACGGCGCGCGTTTGTGCTGCACCTACGTATATATCCATCGAATAGGATAGAGCTCGAACGTTATGGTCAATGTATCGATTTTTTTTTTTTTTTTTTTTTTCTTCACGTGGCGAAGTTTTGAGAGTCAGAGAGCTTTTGTAAAGCTCAACGTGTGTCGTCATTTTTGAACGTTTGCGAGGGTCCACCAAGAGGTTGATGAACTTTTACTGGTCGCTGTTTGTCCGTTTGGATAAATTTGGATATATTGGATGTAACGTGTACTAATATTACGTGTGTGTTTACGAGGCTAGCTACCCATAGTTCAAATTTTGGATTCGATTTCCCTTGAATTTGACGAGGTAGATTTCACCAAAGGTACACAATTTGTACCATAAATATAGTTCTTGACTATAATAATATTCTTCAATAAATATAATAATCCATAATAATCCATATACTCTATGTATACGTGTAATCCCGAGGTCTCTGCTCACTAATTTAAGAAAACGCCCTGGATACCGATATAAAGGCACAAATCCGTGGCATCCGGTCGCTCGGTTGGGATTTTCGAAACGTCACCGAAACAACGCGTACAACGTTGACCAACCTCTAGGTATGTTTTTTTTTCCCCTACTCGCCCATAATGGTATAGCAATCGTTAAAATCTTCATTGATGATGTACAACGTTGTTTTGCACCTGTTACACACGCGGTAAAGCGCCAGACTTCCGCCAACAACATCGATTACGCGCGCATAGCGTGCAACGATGACGCCCCCATATACGCACATTACGGGCGATAAAAATGATTATCAGTATCGCCGTGATAATATATGCTCTAACTAAATTTGCGGACAAGTATATTTTACTCTTCTATAAATATATATATTGTGTATACGCACGTAGCACCCTTGATTGCGTAACGTCCACACGGACTTTTGCGCAGGCAGTGACATTCGCACGTGCCGTTTATGATTTATGAACGATCACGTAACGTAAAGCCTAATATTTTTAATGTGTTTATGGTACCAAACAGCAAGTAATATACTTATGTATTATCTTCCTATCTAAGAGCTCTACTTTACTTTTGTTTTCGACATATTATATATATTATAGTCCTTGACTGATTTAACGGGAATCGCGAGCGAATGGAGATTTATTTCTCCTTTCACATACATGTACCTGCCACAAATAACGGATTTGCATTCGCTATAAATATATGTAGTTGCGTTTTGTAATGTTACAGGTGAATGGAAAGTTACGCGGTTGGGGGGGGGGGAGTGGGGTAATCGTGTACATGTATACGTGATTAGAAGGGGTATGTGAATTTGTGAGCATCATATATCTGGCGTGGGTGAAGTTAAATTTGCTTTAAAACTCGCTGATTTGGTATAATTGAATGGGTACACAAATACACGCTGCCTCGTACGTACTTATATATATATGTATACGAGAAGCTACACAGGATAAATTTTCATTTGTCACCAAAGAAAAAACTCTGCTACCTAATTGTCTTAGTATTCTTCTATCTATTATTTAATATATACGGAAACACATGCACTGAATTACTTTAGTTTGTGTAAGGTGATGTAAAAATATGGGAAAAAAGAAAGAAAGAAAGTAAGGTATTCGAAATCCATTCACAGAAGGTAATGGTGCAAATTGGATAAGCACGCAATATGCAGGAGTGAGAGAAAAAAAAATGCTCGTTTTGAAGATACACAAGCACACACGTACGATTTGTTTGACACAATATATAGGTGTGTGTGCCTCGCAATGATGATTGCATTATACAGTTGCGGGATATTTTCGTAACAAAAACTCGGAAAGTATACAAACGCATAAACGGAAAACCTTTTTTTTTCTTTTTTTTTTTTTTTTTTCGGTGTTACGTATAATCACCACGAGCCCAAATATTACTTAATAAGTTTGAAAAAAATGACGATGCTTGATCTTATCAATACATTGAAATGATAACCTTCGTGGGGGCGACTTGACTGAAAAAAAAAACCAGTGCTTTAGTTTGTCCCATTGGTATACACAATTGATATTTTTACTAACTCATTCGATTATTCACTGAAAAATAAAACTAAGAACAAAATAAATAGTTACGGATGTTAAAATTCCTAACGTGCATAGGCACGGATGTATTGATAGAACAGTGAAAAAAACTAGAAAATTTAGCTGGAATGGAAAAAAAAAACAAAAAAACTTGACAGCGATGATTCAGAGCGAGGTTCGAAATCGCATGCACTTATTCACGTCCGATTCAAGTGGGTGAGTCAAGACATCGATCTTTTCGCTTGATTTTCTCCGGAGTATAAAAATAAACTGTCACGATTTTATTTTTATCTTAATTGCAAGACCAAGCATACCTATAAATTGCATTTTTTTTGCGTTCGCACGGTGAAAGTGAAAATTCTTTGGTACTTATTTCCTCACATAGTTGAAAAATAACTCAAGTATCACGGATTCAATCAACGCAAAGTATTGACTCGCAACTTTTTTTTTTTTTTTTTTTTTTTTTTTTTTTTTGCGGATGTAAAAATTTATAAATGGCGAAAAAGCGAAATCCTTTAAAAGCCTATTATGTAAAACCGATTAGCGTCGTTGGGAGAGTTGAAAAATGTTGTTTGCGGATGCACATCGATAAGGACATCTGGTTCGCACATAAATTTAGAACCTCCGATTGTTTACCAATAAAAATTTCTTTTACGGAAGCACCTACTTATTGTAATATTTGCATTTTGTTTATTTTCGATGTATATGCAAAGCTGATATACATATATGCCTGTCTACCCGATTTTGTTGTTATGAGCGATAAAAATGTATAGGCATACTGCAACATCCCGTGACGTTGAACTGACTGGGTTGTTTTTTTTTTTTTTTTTTTTTCTCCAAAAGTTTTTGTCATCATCATCCATTGACGTTATGGTACTCGTATCTTTTGATGTCATCATTAACGATGGATTGGAAAATGTTTTTCTCCTCGGAGCATTTGGACCTGAAAATTACCATAACAATACTACTTATTTACTAGTAAAGCGCACCCGTTTAGACAAGCTTTTCCAAAGAGTAAACATCCCTACAGAGTTTGCGGTTATTTACTATGACTCGTTTTCGATAATTTCAGATGGAACAAAATAAATACAGAGTACCGATGCTCGGTAGGATTCTATGCGCACATCACAGCTTTTAATAAAATCGTTAGTGTTGATGTGAACATTTTTTGGGTGATGTAGTTGTTTGAAGTTATTAAATGGCTGTGATGGGTCCTTTGAGAAAAATTTTGGGTTCTCGACAAAGACTTATTTGGAAAAAATTACTATTTCTTATTTTTAAACACCTACAAGCATACTCAGCTCACTCATGTACATTTACAGAGACTTTTTTTCTACATGTGCTCATCAGTCACTAATATTTTTGCGAATAAGTGATGTAAGCGTTAGAGATCGTCTGAGAAATACTGTCAATACCTCAAATTTATCTTACACGTAGGACATGAGTTTAACAAGCTGTTGAAAAGAAATCTCCATGTCATCGAATAAAAACAAATTTCAGGGAGAGTACAAGTAGCGAGTAAAACAAAATACCCGCTGTTCAGCATGAAAAATAAATAATCCTCAAGAAATCCAATAAAAATGTAAAGCTAAGATCTGCAAGTTGTCGAGCTTCAAAGGATCGCTTGACAAGAGCAAAATTTTCGCCCCCTACTCCTCATTGTTCTGTGGCGTCTGGCAAAACTAAATTTGAAAAAACACTTAGCGTAAACTTTTCTGAGCTCGCAGTGTTTTTCTTTTGAGCGGCAGACATTTTTTTTTGTTCGTCGTGCGAATATGATACACCGGAGCTCGACAGTCCTATCAAAGGTATATATAAACCCTTGGCGTCGAGCCAACTGCACAGCTGCACATATTTATTTCCTAATGTTTTGATTCAGAAACAAATTCACCATGTATATTATTTGCAACACGTTTTTCTACATCAACTATATTTTGGTGGACTGGACCAAAAAAAAAAAAAAAAAAATCATTTCAACTGAACGATATCGGCACAGATCTGAAGCCTGACTACAGGGTTGACCGATTATTAGTTTAGTCTTACGTAAAAATAAAGAATTTCATAAACTTTTGGGTAATGTATTTTTCAGCATTAAAATTATGATTTCGGGTGAACAACGTGACTTTAATTTTTTTCAAGATGGTTATGCGACAACTCATGGAATTCCCCACGAGTGCTGATAAATGAAGGAAAAAAAAAAAAAAAAAAAAAAAAANTGAATCGAACTAACTTTGAGTTAACTTTGATTCAATTACATAGAACCTTGGCTCTGAGGCTGTAAATATTTTATAAATCACAAGTAGGATTTACTGTTGTTATAAAAGTACATCATA